TCGGGATTCTCGCTGACAGTCCGAGGGCGCAGGGCGCGCTTTAAAGGTTTCTCTAGTTTAGCTAAAATAGGGATATTTGTATTTCGTACTGCTGCTGTTGCTGCTGCTGCTGCTGCTGCTGCTGCTGTTTCAGCAGCAAAAGCGCAGTCAGTTGCATACACAGGAAAGCTACCTGAGACGAGCTGCTAAAACCTTCGCCCGCTCGGCTCCCTAGGCTTCTCGCCTTTCGCTTGCGCATGCAGCAGCAAGCAGCAGCAGCAAGCAGCAGCAGCAAGTGCATTAGCAGCAAGCGCATCAGCAGCAAGCAGCAGCAGGAAGCAGCAGCAGCAGCAAGCAGCAGCAGCAAGCAGCAGCAGTCAGCAGTATAAGTACCAGAACCGCGCAGCAGCAGCGGGCCTCTCAGGTGCACCCGCTTGGAGTTCTTCGGCAGCAAAATTTGCCAACACTAATTCTTGAACTCTGCTGCAGCAAAAGGCGAGGGGGCCTTTTGCTGCAGCCAACTGCAGCAGCTGCGCTGTTTGCTGCAGCCGCTGCTGCTTCTACGGTGCAGCAAAAGGCGAATTAAACGCTGAAATGGAAAACTCTAAAATAGCGTTTCTCGCGAGGTTTAATGGAATAGTTGTGAAAAGAACTTCCACCCTTGCTGCCACAGAAGGTGAAGTTTGCATGCACTTTTTTGCTTTTTTAAATGGGGCTTTTCGCATGCAGAGAAGGCAGTGTAGGGGGCAGTTCATTACGGAAATTGAAGAGAATCTTGAAAAAAGATCCTTTAAAACCCAACACCAGGGGCCCCCAGACTCTGCCAAAAGGGCCCCCTTTAAAGTGATTATTGGCACTCTAAGTTGCTTCTTTTGCTGCTTTGCAGCAGCAACTGAAAAGGCCTCGTCCAGCCTCTAAGCCCCGCTCCCTTATCTTAGCTTCTGCCTTCTCTGTGTGGGGCCCCACAGACTTTGCAGCTCAGCAAAGTCTTGCTTTCCTTTTTGCTTCTTCTTGCTAGAACAGCAGCAGCTGTGGGGCCCCAGCACACCTGGGGCCCCACACCCCCTTGGGTCTTAGCTGGGAGGCCCCCAGCTGCTGGCTCCCACAGCAGCAGTTCCCTCTTTGCCGGAGTCCTCTTCTCGGGGGCCCCCTGGGGGGCCCCCCTGTGGGGCCCCCCTGGGGGGCCCCCCTGGGGGGCCCCCGGGGGCCGATGGGGGGAATCCTCTGGGGGGCCCCCACGGGGGGCCCCTTTTTCTGCAGGCTTCCGTGGCCGCCCCAAAGGAGTTGTAGTTTGCTAGATAAGCGCAGATCTGTCTCTGAAAAAGAAAGTCATTGAAAAGAGTTTTAATAATTCATTTTTGCTCCAGTTGCCCTTTTATGCAACTCCAAAAAGACTTTTTATGTCTCTAAAGAACAAAAAGGCAAAGAGCATTTAATGAGGTCAGAGAAATGAAGAGCTGCGCATGCAGCAGCCAACGAGAAGCCCCAAAAGACGTGAGCGCCTCTCAATCGTTGCAGCTGCAAAAGAGGAAACAGAAAAAGTGAAGAAGCAGCAAAGAAGCAGCAAAACTTCCAGAAGTCATGCTGCAGCTGCTGTCCATCTGTAGCTCTGCGGCGGCCCTGCCTTGTCTTCTTTCGGAAGCAAAGAGTCTCAAAGAATCTGCTGCATGCAGTGGCTAATCAGGCCCTCAGAAGCCCCCAGAAGAAGCAGCAAACTCCCCGAGTGGCCGCGGCTATTGCTGCAGCAGCAGCAGCAGCAGCAGCAACAACGTCGCACGCGTGTAGGAAGCAGACGCAGCAGCAACTTTGCCTGCAGCAGAAAGACGTCTTTCTTTGTAGTCTGCGTGATGCTAAGCTTCTAGTTGAAACTCCGCAAATTGTTGCATCCAGCAAAACGTTTATTTAGTTCAAAGTTGAGATTTATTTTGCCTCACTTTAGAAATTCTGGAAAAAGCACTTTCAACTCCAAGCAGCTTCTGGCTGCGGGTGGCCACGCGCTGCTGCTGCAGCCTCCGGGCCCAGAAGCTTTTCTTTGGGATTTAATTACTTTCTGCTGCTGCAGGGTTTCGGCCCTAGCTAGCAGCAGCAGACTTGCAGCTTCTAAACCCTAAAACAGAGTATAATGCACAGGCACTACAATGGCGCCCCCCGGGGCCTACAGTGGCCCCTTTTTGAAAAAATAAAGATATTGAAGCATTAAAACAAAAAGAATATTATATTAATTCTAATTTTTAATTTTAAATCCGAAAAATTCGGCAAGAAATGAGGCAAAGGGCTGCCGTTGCCAGCTGCCCAGAGCTTTGTCTGGCCTTGGGGGGAAAGAGCTGTGGAGCGAAATTTTAATTTTCTTTTTGTGAAAAATAATTAAAATTAATTTGTTTTAAAATGAAGATTTAAAAAGCTCTTTAGGAATGGCAGCAGCAAGAGGCAGAAAGTGCCTCTGGGCCTTAAGCTCATTCTTCCAAAGTAGCCCAGAAGTGGCCTTCAGGGTTTAGAACTTTTGAATTTCAAAAACCGAAAAGAGCTGCGTTTTTAAAATTATAAAATCTGGGATATCCATGAAGAGCTGCTTTTTGGGAAGTTGTTCACTGTAGGATATTCAGGGAGAGCTGCTTTTTAAAAGCTTCTACATTTTGAGAAATCCAGAAAGAACTGCTTTTCAAGAACTTTTAAATTGCAAAATATAAAAAAAAGATTTAGGGAATTTAGTCTCGGGAATTCAAAACAATGGGGTCTCAAGAAAGGCTAGAGGGCTGGGGCTGGCGGAAGGGAAAAGAGACGCAGTTCACTTTTGTTAGAAGTGGAGTTTTGCTGCTGCTGATTAAATACTAAAAGTATATTAACTAATTTATATTTATTTGAATTATTTAAATTTAATTTTCTTTTGTTGCCCAGGAAGCTTCTTCAAAGTGTCTCTTTATAAAAGTAAACAGACAGAAAGCCAGAAAAGTCCCGAGGCCAACTGCAAAATGAATGCCTGGGGATTTTGAAGAACTGAAAAAGCATTTAAAATGACTATTGAAAGAAAATAAAATTAATCAAAAACTAAAAGCTTATAAATATAAAGATAAATATGTATATATATACATTTATATACATGTATGCATTTGACTATATAATCAAAGGCCGCAGCTAGCTGGCCCCGAGACTTCGGTGTATTTCAGACAAACTCATAAAGTTACAGTTGGTGCAAATGTGACAGTAAAAGAAATAAAAAATTAAACTTCTGAAAATTAAAAAAACAAAATATGAATTGTAAGCACTTCGGGTGTATGTACAGTTGCGCAACCAGCTAAATTTTGGCGGAGTTGAAAATAAAGAAAATATTTTTTTTTATTTTTGAAAGTTTATAAATGGAGACAGAGAGAACTTAGTGCTATTGGTAAATAGAATTAAAAAGAGTAAATTGAACAAAAGCATTTATGGAAAGTCAAAAATGAAAAACTTTGGAAATTTGCTTTTCAGTTTTTGGCATTTTGCAGCAGCTGCGTCTTTGAGTGCAGGCCAGAAGAGGGGCTAATGAAGAAAAAATGAAACCCCGCATTGGATTTCAAAATGGACTTTCTTGGATTTTGCAACTATAAGTAAATAAATAAACAACTAAATAGAAGGGGAAAAGGATTTATTCGAGATTCTGCAACTAAATAAATATATAAACAACTAAATAGAAGGAAAAAGGATTTATTAGAGAGCATAATCGCGAGCTTTAGGCCCTAAGCAGCTTTTATTGCAAAAGCAAAATATGAAGAAATGGCTGAGGGGCTGTTTCTCTCTCAGCGGCAGGCGCAGCAGCTGCAGCAGCTGCAGCAGCTGCAGCAGCTGCAGCAGCTGCAGCAGTAGCAGCAGCAGCGGACGCACAGCTCGCTTTATAAAGGCTAGTATTTGTTTGCTGCTGGACTGTTTTAGATAATGTGCTGGGCTGCTGCTGCGCTGCTGCATATGCTGCTCTTGCTTCTGCGTAAACTGCGCTTTGCTGCTGCTGCTGCTGCTCTTGCTGCTGCAGTTTCCGCACCTTGCTGTTATTGCTGCTGCTGCTGCCAGGGCGTGCAGCCGCAGCAAAAACCTGGAAGGGCTTCGCGAGCGCTACTGGGTTGAGCTCCGGAGAGCTCGCAGCAGCTGCTGCTGCTGCAGCTGGCAGCTGCTGCAGCAGCGCAGCAGCTGCTGCAGCTGGCAGCTGCTGCAGCTGGCAGCTGCTGCAGCCCGCTGTTTATTCTTGCCTTTTAGACCCAGTGCAGCACCGCAGCATTGGGAGGCCTGGAAGAGTGGTTGGAAGTTCTAAATAAAGATAAAAATAAATTAATTTTGTTTTAATTCAATTGATTTTCAATTAACTTCAATTTCACGCAAAATATTCCCAAAAAGTTTGTCCGCTCCCTCCCCCGCTGCCTTCGGTACCCGGCGAAGCAGCACGCAGCAGCAGTGGAGGCTGCTGCGCACTTAAATAATAAAAAGTTAAATTAAAAAAGAATTATAAAATAAAAAACAGAATAATAAAAGTGTCGAGTTGGAAGAGCAGCGTCAAAAGCTCCGTTGCTGCAAATGTATGCCTGAGGTGTACATACACCTGGTGTGTATGTACACCTGGGAGCGCCGCTCTTGCTGCTGTTCGAGCCTCTGCATTTATTTAAATAAAAAAATAAATTCTTTTTACAAATTAAAACTAAATTTAATTGCATTTCAATCCAAGTTTGCTGCTTTTTCGCCTCCGGGCCCCAGCGTCCTGACAGCAACCCCACCAAATAACCACCAAGCCACTGCTGCTGCTGCTGCTGCTGCTCGCTTCTTCGCCTTTATTTACCCTTTTTTTGGCTTTTTAATTTAATTAATTATTTACTAAAATATAAATGGAGCCTCATGAGCTGTTTTTTGTCCCTCAAGGCGCTTCCTCTTGACCCCCCTGACTGGGGGCCCTGCTGGGGGTTGCTGCTGGGGGCCCCCAAACCCTAAACCCTAAACCCTAAACCCTAAACCCTAACAAATGCCTTTCACAGCCAGCTCGAGCCTGACAGGAGAGCAGCAAAATGAGGGGCCCTAGTCCTTACCGCCACGAGCAGCAGCAGCAGCAGCTACAGCAGCAGCAACAGCAACAACTCCAGCAGCAGCAGCAGCAGGAACTGCAGCAGCAGCAGCAGCAGCAGCAAGAGCAGAAGCGGCAGCGGCGAAGCTGGCTGCAAGACAATCAGAGAGAAGGTACTCCTTCCATCTGTGGGGCCCCCACAACTCCGAAGTACCCCTTTACCCATGAGGGCCCCGGGGGCCCCCAGGGTCTTGGGGGCCCCCAGGGTCTTGGGGGCCCCCAGGGTCTTGGGGGCCCCCAGGGTCTTGGGGGCCCCCAGGGTCTAGGGGGCCCCGGGGGCCCCCGGGGCCCTGGGGGCCCCCATGGGTCTGGGGGCCAGCTGGGTCCTGGGGGCCCCCGCTGGGTTGGGGGCCCCCAGGGTACTCCGGTATACGGGGGCCCCAGAAGGACCCCTTTGGGGGCCCCCCTAGTCAAGGGGCCCCCTGGGGGCCCCTCCCCCAGGGGGCCCCCTGGGGGCCCCTCCCCCAGGGGGCCCCCTGGGGGCCCCCCGTTGTGTCAGCTTTCTAGAGAAAGCCCTTTATGGGGGGCCCCCGTGGGGGCCCCCCAGGTTGGGGGCCCCCGCGGCACCCCTTGGGGCCCCAGAAGCCTCAAAGCAAGCCCGTTTGCTGCTTCTGCTTCTGCTGCTTCTGCTGCTTCTGCTGCTGCTGCTGCTGCTGCTGCTGCTGGCTCGCCCTCTCCAGCTGGGTGGCGGCAGCAGCAGCGCAGAACCCAAAAGGGTCTTTTTGGGGGCCCCTGTGGGGCCCCGGGGGCCCCCGGGGCCCCCGGGGCCCTGGGGGCCCCCGGGGCCCTGGGGGCCCTTGGGCTCCAGTCTTATTCCCGGTATTTGGGGAAGTCTGTTTGGATTTATACGGGGGGGGACACTTTTGTCTCCCAGCAGCAGCAGCAGCTGCTGCAGCAGCAGCTGCAGCAGCAGCAGCAGCAGCAGCAGCAGCAGCAGCAGCAGCAGCAGCAAACAGAAGAGGACAGGGAGGCCCGAGCTCTGGACCCCTTTATTCGCGGAGTGCTTTGCAAGCCGCAGCCTGAGGGCCTGCCAACAAATGTAGTAGCTGTTGCTATTCCTGCAGCAGCAGCAGCAGCAGCAGCAGCAGCTGCTGCTGCTGCTGCTGCTGCTGCTGCTGCTGCTGAGCCTGCTGGTGGTGACGCTGAGGGAGAGCAGCAGATTGTCTACGCGGTAAGTTCTTTCTGCTGCTGCAGCAGCAGCATCAGCTGCTGCAGCCACTGCAGCGGAAACAACGCAGGCTGCCGCAGCAGCAGCAGCAGCAGCAGCGGCAGCAGCAGCAGCAGCAGCAGCAGCGGCAGCAGCAGCAGCAGCAGCAGCAGCTTGTCAAGGGTGTATGTTTTGTTATCTGCAGCCGCTGGAGACAGTTTTTCCCTCTGATGAGGTCTTTGGCGTGCCGGACAACACTCAGGTGGCTAAACCCTAAACCCTAAACCCTAAACCCTAAACCCTAGACTCTAAAGCCTAAGGCTAAATCTTAAACGCTCGGCTTCAGACCCCAGACCCGCAGTTTTAAACCCCCAACTAGCTGCACCCAAACCCTAAACCCTAAACCCTAAACCCTAAACCCTAGGCAAAAAACTCTACACTTTGATCAGCCAGTCCACTGTCTTAGCTTTTCAGGCGGAGAGCGTAAAGGCTGAATCTTCTTCATTTAGGGTTTAGGGTTTAGGGTTTAGGGTTTAGGGTTTAGGGTTTGTGCAGTGTGGGCTTGGGGTGCGTTTTGTGAGGGTTCGTTCGACTCCAGAGCTCACGAGGACTCCAGATTCAGGGTTCAATTCCCAGGGTTTAGGGTTTAGGGTTTAGGGTTTAGGGTTTAGGGTTTAGGGTTTAGGGTTTAGGGTTTAGGGTTTGTCCAGTGTGGGTTTGAACTGCGTGGGGTTTGTTTTATGAGGGTTCGTTCGACTCCAGAGCTCACGAGGACTCCAGATTCAGGGTTCAATTCCCACGGTTTAGGGTTTAGGGTTTAGGGTTTAGGGTTTAGGGTTTAGGGTTTAGGGTTTAGGGTTTAGGGTTTGTCCAGTGTGGGTTT